AAAATGAGTATTTTATCATGAAATGTACAACCCGATTACATACAAATCCGAGTTGAAGGAATATAAAATGTTGTAGATGATATGAGTTGAACAAATAGAAATTTTTTGGGGCAAAGTGGGAAAGGACGAAAAAAAAAGCTCAGATAACCCTATAATTCGCCTATTGATCATCATTAATCAGCCATGTTCAACACGCAAGTCAGTCTTTGCTAGACCAACAAACAATTTTTTTTTTTACCCTGACAATAAGAAAAACAGCCATACGGCATCTATAAAGAGCGCCATAAATGGTCATACAAGGACAAACAAATCATGAAGCAATATAATAAAACGGAAGAACAGGCTCCAAATTTGCTAAGAAACAATGCACCAACGGAAACCACCAAGGGAGGAAAGTAGCAACGGAAATGACCTACAGGTCAGGCCAATCGTCAAGGCAACTGCTCTAAGGCTGCATCCACAAGACGCTGCCGACAGGGAAGAAACCCCCCAAACCCCGCACAAGAGGCAGGGACAACAACACCCACACAGAGGCGGGGACAAAAACCCGACATAGATCGAAAATCTAGCCAGAAAACAAAAAGCAGATCCATCCCTTCAAGTCAGAAACAAACCTAACAGGAGCAGATCTAACAAAACAATAATAAAAACGACGTAAAAGCCCACCCACCGAGCGACTATGTACAACAAGCCGAGTTTATTATGCGGTGGGAAGCGAGGGTCGGCACCTCCCATCCCATGGAAGGAGGTGGGGAGCAAAAACAGAGGAAGAGAACGAACAGGGCGGCTGGGTTTAGAGAGAGGCAAGAGAAAAAGTTTTAGTTGAGTTGAATTTGTGCAATCTAGACCAACAAACAATTGGTCAACCCACACCCACACACATTCCAATTTGAATCCTCTGTTTAATTCCACAAGACCCACAACAACAAAAGCTCCACCCTCTTTTATCTGTGTTTTTACCCAAAATTGGTTTGGAGAATTCAATCCAATCCAATCCAGTCCTTCAATGGCGAGGAAGATGAAGATACCCATATTTCTGTATTCATTTGCACATTTCTAGTTCTGGTTTCCCATTTGGGCTTGTCACACGGCCAACAATCTTATGTCAACAACAAAGAGCTTGACTGTGAACGAAACTACACGGTCGCCGAAGGCTATGTCTGCAATGGTCCACTCTCCTCCTGCAATTCTTACCTCACTTTCCGATCGAACCCAACCTACAGCTCCCCCGCCACCATCGGCTACCTCCTCTCCGCCCAACCCGCCGAAATCGCCCGAATCAACGTCTCCGACTTCCACACCTTCCCCACCGACACCATCGTCGTCGTCCCTGTTAATTGCTCCTGCACCGGCGGCGAAAACTACCAGCACAACGCCACCTACGTCTTGAAGACAACGGACGAGACCTATTTCTCCGTAGCCAACAACACCTATCAGGGTCTCCAAACCCAAACAATTTTCGAGATCTGGCAGTGGACATGAGACTCAATATTCCTCTCAGATGTGCTAGTCCCACTTCGAATCAGACCTCCAATGGCGTCAAATACCTTCTCACTTATCTGGTCACTTGGGGAGATGGCCTTCCTTCTATTGGAGACACTTTTGGTGTTGACAATCTGAGCATATCTGATGCTAACCAACTATCTGGACTCATTTTCCCTTTTACTCCGCTTCTCGTTCCGCTTAAAACCGAACCCATTAGGATCAACACCACCACCGTCTCTCCAACGCCACCTCCGCCTCCGTCGTTGCCCACCGCCCCCGTTGACGACAGCAACAGTTCTTCCTCCCACAAGTGGGTTTACGTAGGCCGTGATTATCATCCTCTGTTTATTTTTGGTTTGGGGCTTTCGTAGGAGGAGGTCTCAACCAAGCAAGCCAATTCCAGTTCCAATTCGACCGGGTGGTGGTAGGAAGCTTGATGAGTCTGCTGATTACACAGCTCTGCCAGACACCAAGTCATGGTCTGTCTCGTCGGAAGGAATTCGATCCGCTGTTGAATCCCGACTCTGTACAAGTTCGAGGATTTGCAGAAGGCCACTGGATTCTTCAGCGAAGAAAACAGAATCAAGGGCTCTGTATACGGGTTCTTTCAAAGGGGATGATGCTGCAGTGAAGATCGTAAAAGGGGATGTGTTTGTGGAGATCAATCATTTCAACATAATGAGACTCTCTGGTTTCTGTGTGAATGAGGGTAACACCTACCTTGTTTATGAGTATGCTGAGAAAGGGTCACTCTCAGATTGGCTTCATTTCAAAGGGTATCAAACTTCTACTACTAGTCTAAGCTGGAAGGAGAGCGTTCAGATTGCCTATGACGTCGCGGATGCTCTGAATTACCTCCATAACTACACCAATCCGCCTTTCGTTCATAAGAACTTGAAGACCAGTAACATACTTCTTGACGGTAATTTGAGAGCCACGGGTGCGAATTTTGGGTTGGCAAGGACTCTGGAGAATGAGGACCAAGGAGGGCTGCAATTGACTAGGCATGTGGTCGGAACTTATGGGTATATGGCTCCCGAGTACATTGAGAATGGATTGGTTACTCCTAAACTAGATGTGTTCTCATCTGGTGTGGTGGTGTTGGAGCTCTTGTCAGTAAAGGAGGCTAATAGCAGTGGGGGTGGCGAGAAGAATGGTGAAGAGGAGTTACTATCCGTGACCATAAACCAGGTGCTGGGAGAGCCGAATGTGAGAGACGAGTTGCGAGGCTTAATTGATCCTTGCCTAGAAAGGGAGTACTTGGCATCCTCCATTGCCGAGCTAGCTAACAACTGCGTCGCTCATTATCTCAATTCTCGCCCACCCATGGCCGATGTTTTCATGACCCTGTCAAAGATTCAGTCATCTTCACTGGATTGGGATCCGTCCGACGAACTCGATCACTCCAGATCACTAGGCCGTGGCAGATAAGAAGTCAACTGCTATCAATGAAGGAGAATGAATATGGTATCCTGTGATAATAGTGTGGCAATCGGTGGCTGTTGTTTGTCCAGCCCATGTTATTATAGCATAATAGAGCATAGAATTTCTTGTCTGTCTTCTTTCATAAATGACGACGTATAAGCATCTGAAAACTGGTGCTTCAGTTAGCCCAATAATCAAGCTTCAATCTCATCCCTGTAAAACCTAAAGATCAAATGATTTCTCAAGGTTTATCTGGCTGGAGTAATGGCAAAACCTGGTCACACAAACTGTACCACAAACTCAGTAAAAAAAATTTAGCAAATTTTCTGGAAACCAGTCACAGACTCGCTGTAACAAAATGTATCTAACAAACATTTCCATGAATGTAAGGTAAAAGAGCAAGGTTGACTCCAATTTATGTGGCAATAGAAGTTCCAATGTATGCTATTGATATATTTTCCTTCATTAAACTTTTCCCATTCCCCTTTACTGATCCTGCTATTCAACATTGCTTGAAGCTGGATCACATTCCTAAGGTAGAGATGCAGTGAGAACTCATACAATCTTTGTTTAATTGTTCTCTCTCATCAAATCAGGCCACTGGGGAACTTTCTTTCATTTTAGTGCCCACTGGAACGAGATGGGGATTGAAGTCTGAGCACGACTCACTAGTGGTGCCCTACAAAGTGTAGAGTTTGTATGAAGTTGATAACTTGTACCGCCTGAAAGTAGCCGCTTAGGCATGTGGCATCATTTACAAGTTCAAGAACGTGTTATATTACTCAACCCCAAAACCTTCTCAAAGCAACCAGAACACATGGCTTAAGTCGATGATGTGAGAGTTTCTACTGCCAAAGAGTGACATAATATAAAGGATAAATTGCTTACACAATACCACACATGAGAAAAATTGAGTCAATCAATCAATCATTGTAGATTATTTTAGCACAAACATGCTGTATCAGATTGGATTATGCCAAACAATGCAACATATAAAACGTAACCTTTTACTAAACTCTTATTTGGTGGCCTGCGCGATTATATTGCTGATTGAACTGGCCTTTTCTTTAGCAGCTTCAACTAACGAATCCTGAAAATCAAATATACAGTCCATTCAAATTCTAAATGTCAGAGTAAATATATCACCACTGTGAAGAAACATACCTGCACTGCTATTAGACGTGCAACTGTTTTCTTGCTTGATTCTTGAAGTTCACCGGCAATTAAAAGTTCATCCAATATGTAATATACCTGCCAAGTATTACGCAGAAACATTTTAACCAAAAAAACAAAAAATCAGCCATTAACACCATCTAGAATTGTGTGGTCAACCAGTTGTCAAACATATCAACAAGTACTGATCATTCAAGTAACATCCCCAAATCAGAGGAGGTAATAGTACTTTTGCAATGCAGGTATGTACCACCCAAATGACAATATCACCTTCCAAAAGATTATTTTGTTGACTACTCCAACTACTAAATCTAATTTTCCAACAGAGGGGCAAGGTAGAATTGAGAAGTTGATCAACAGAAGTCTGTGAATGTCTTACCAAAAGAAAAGAGATTGGTTATCATCTATATGGTTCCTACTACAGGAAAAGAGTCAAATTTAATTCTCATCAGTGGTCTTACAGCAGCATATTCAGCAACTACAAATGGCTGTTAAAGATTCGCTTTACTCTTTTGCTAACTCTTATTTTGTAATTCATTTTAGGGTTAGCGAGACATGGCTCGTGGAAAGAGAGAGATTGCATATATAACTTTAAGGTCAATGAGTATTGCAAGAAGATTTATAAACAAAGGGCAAGGGAGCAGTCCTAACAAGAGTATTGTATATATGATTTTGAACTAACAAGAGCTTAGAAAATTACCACTCTTAACCAATACTTCTGTGTCAGACATCCACTGAAATGTACGAATGAACATAAACATGTACAACTTGAGTCCAAAACCATACTTCCAAATACAAGCCAAACAAATCTTCTTCATCATTCGGCTCTATATAGGGGAATTTTTTTCAGTTTGTCACCCAAGCAAAAGATCAAAAAATGTCCTGCAGGAGGCAACAGGTATTGCCCTTCTGCAACAGATAAGGGAAAAAGGATTCAAACACATAGCAGGGCAATGTAATATACCTTATGAAAATTATAGATTAAATCAAGCTCGCAGACCTAATGAAGCATAGAGAAGCATTATCAATACCAATTTAAGATAGTATGTTAATCTAATTCAAATTCTTAGTTATTTCAAGTTTAGCAGGGCTCACACTTCCAAAGTAGCGGTCAAGTATTTCGACATAATGGTGTATAATTTCAAGAATCTCTAATCTATTGTCATCCTGGTCAATGCACATGCAGAAATACAGTCTGGCATATCTGATAAACAGATGCACATAAAGTACTGTATATTTGTGAAGAAGAATAATTCTCTCTATGAATCAGGGCCACAAACATAAACGTCAAATTAGGATTAAAAAATTCTGTCATACCTTTTATAAACAACTTTAAAACCCCTCCACTCCACAAAGTTGCAAAGCTTGGGTCCTCGCGGGAGAATTAAACCACTGAGTTCCCTGATTACCTGTACAAAGTGCCATCCACATACCACAACATTTACATAATTAACAGAGTGCACATTACTTCGGGAAATTCACATGCTAAAAATTATGATTTTCCATAATTGCACAAACTAATTCCCCCCGTCGAAATGCCAACAACTAAAAGATATGACTAAGAAGGGATTCCATGTATGTTTATAATGACAGCCACTTAGTTGTATATAAATGTTCAGCTTCCTTATAAAGCTTGAAACAAGAACAGAAACACATTCCAACGACACAACAAGATTCCTTATATATCTTGCGCAATGCAAAGTCCACAGGGGAAGAAGAAGAAATTTTCATTATTACTATATCTATATTGAATTAATAAGTAAAAAAAAGATACTCGACTCCTAAATTTTACATTGTACTTGGCATGAATTGGCACCAGCTAACTAATCTATATTTGTAACCCTCCTCCCAGGAATACAGAAAATGAACAGCTTTCAGATTGGAAAAAGTTGCATAGTTCAAGTAAATGATACCTTTGTTCTTTCCTTCTGTGCATAAGGTGAATACCACTTTGTCAACCTCACTTTTCCTTGTCGGCTGATGAGAAGCACAAAGTGAATCTGGAACAAGCACGTAAACAGACGCCACTAAACATTTACTAGTTCTCTAGCTGGTTCAAACATAACCATTAAATTATTCTTGAAAAGTTGGTGGTTTTTGAGGGCGATAAAATATATTACGTATCTTGTTGAAGAGGTAAATTATTTCCCCCAAGTAAGAATTACGATCAGAAAGAAGCAAAAAAAAACAGATGTGAAACCAGTTTTTTCCTCAATAAGAGCAAATAACCGTCAACAAATGATAAACCAACTCATAATATTCAATTATTCATCCAAATTACCTCATTTTATTAAGAAGACAAAACTATTAATCAAGTTTGATTTATAATTGCTGAAAATGTTGAATGGGTTCCACCGAAAAACATAGGCTTAAAAAAGCAGCACTTGTTTGTTCATGGTGCAAACTAGTGAACACAGCTTTACATGTCAAAGCCCTATTTGGTGTACATTACTTTCAACAAAGAAAGATTGAATGAGCCCATCCCGCATTGCTTGGACAACCACCAAATATGCATTTTGCATGTACAGAAAGGGTTTTCAAACCCCATTACTAGAGAATGCAGTTCAGTTGCAAGTCATTTCATTTCTGGATAAGAAGTTGATTAAAGATTGTTGCAATAAATTATAGTTATAAGCATGAAATAACAAGATAAAATTTGTAAGGCATTTTTGTGATAAAAAGAAAGGGTTTACCAATTTAAGACACGTCCACTGCAACTTAACACAATACTCACAAAACTAATTTTCTATCTGGAAATGATTAAGCATAATTGGACAAATATAAGCAAAACCTAATTATTTGTCCTTAATGCTCCAGGACACCGTTCTTGTCACCATGCAGGCTCTCACCATAGAAATTCTCTCTATATCACGTCAACCATGGCATCTTTCAGAATTCATCATCAGTTGCACTTAAATCCACCTCTTGCAAGCCACAAGCAACACCTCACTCCTGTAAGCAACCATCCTACTACTCACCAAAGCTGAAGCCTCCACCATTTTTTTTTATCTCAATCTTAATAGGTTTTTCTTAGTTGTGGGCACCCCATTTGCATATTCCTCCTACAAACACTAACTCATTCATTAAGAGGGGGGGGGGGGGGGGGGGTTGGGGTGGGGGGAGGGACTAACTCATTCCATTTGGCTATGTCCATCAAGTACACCATCCACTTTTACAGTTGGCATCTACATAATTTTGTTCACAACCTAGAGGACAATGCTTAGTGACCTAGTAAAATGCTCGGGCTGCCAAGCTTGAGAACGCGGACAACCACTTTGTGTCAATAATGCCACAAATTAGGTCTGTATCCAGTCGACCCTGCCCAGCACCCTCAATTAACAGAGAAGACCCCACATTGAATAATGACTATAATTTTATTCACCACTGAACCACCCACTCTCCCCCAAACAATGCTACTATTCTATCCAGAAAAGAAAAAGGAAAAAAAAAAAAAAGTAAAAATACGGCAAAGAAAACAAACTGTATATGCACACATCACATTCATGATTAAGTTTTCGAATCAATAGTTCAAGTCACACACACCCATAATTTTCTCGCCGGAGAATTCCCTTCAACTATTCATGCCAAATAACTAATACAATATTGCGGAGTTGAAGGGAAATATCCAAATACATGTCTCATTCTTTTCAATAATAAAAACTTGTGCCAATGAAATAGCATTGTTCATGATTAAGAAAACAAACTGTATATGCACACAACACTTTCATGATTAAGTTTTCAGATCCAACAATGAAAACAAACATTAACCCAAATTCCACCCAATTATGAATTTCGCAAGGCAAGCTCGTAATTGAAGTTCTCTAACTCCACCAAAGAACAATAGATAGGGTTATAAAATAGAAAACAAGTGATCACATGGATAATATATGTTCGATAAGGAAACCCAAAAAGGAAAGCAAAATATAAGTATCAAAACGACTCCAATTCATCAAGAAACGAACATTCAAAACAAAGATAGAGACAGTGTGTGTTTAGCATCGAACATAAAGGTCTGATAAACAAAATGAAATAAGGAAAAGTTGGATTGAAATGATAGATGCATTTTGGATCTGTTTTATTGGAATCGAATCAATTAAAGAGAAGAAAATGATGACCTGCGAACAAAGATTTATGTTACCATGGTTGTGAGCTCTGGTGTCTTCTATCGGCATCAATTTGAAACAAAGGAAGCCCTTCTCTCTGTCCCAATTTGATCTTTCCCTTCTTTAATGTCTCTCCTGCCTCCTCAATTGCTGCATTTTTGTTCGTCAAAATTTTCAAAGATCCATGAAACACGATTTTTTAATTTTTTGGGGACTATTACACTGATTTTGTATAGTCAGTGTCATTATCACGTGTTTCTAAAATGAAAATAACATATTTTTGAGTTTAAAAAAAAAAAGTAAATTAAAATTGAGTGTGTGCTTATATATACTCCCATATAAATATATATATATATATATATATATATATATGTATTTATTTATTTTATTTATTTTTGGGCCCTTGGCAAATGGCACAGACACTTTCTCTCTACCTCTAGTAAGAATTATTTTTTTTTTTTTTTCTATTTTTAAGAAAGATTTGGAAAGTAAAAAGTTATCACTTATGAGTGTGTGTTTAAAACTCATGTAAATCTATTATCTTTGATTTTACTATTATAATTTTGATATTTTAAAATATGATTTTCATATATCACGATTGGATTATCAAAAAATATATATATCACAATTGGATTAGAAAAATGACCAATAATTACATTTTTACTAGCATTTTATTTTCTAAATTTATCTCTTCAAGGAGGGAGAAAAAAAAAATTTCTTATTCAAGTGATCAAATTTACCTTTTCAGTTGCCTTTGAAGTAATTTATAGAGGGTATTTCTATTTGACACTTCTAACAAATGGTTGTGGAATAGTTTTGCCTAGGTCTTGGAATGTAGAATTCATTATCCTCTTGTCTATGTTCATTCATAATTCAGAGAATGTTGTTTTCAGCAGTTCTTTTTTTTTTTTTTTTTTTTGAAGGGGGGGGGGGGGGGGGGGGGGGGGGGGGTTGTTGGAGAGGAACTTGAGAAAGGTATCAAGAGAGACTCCTTTGATCTAGCAAAGTTTATCTCGTTTAACACTATTGATGCAACTTCTATATCTCTTCAAGCTATTTTGTCATGTTAGCTCTTTTTTTTATTTGTCTTAGATACTTAACATTCATTTTTCATTATTATTGCAACTAGATATATTCTGAAATAAATAGAAAAATTATTACATAGTCCAGAGCTACTTGATCCTAACCAATTACAGGAGGTCACATAACAAAAAATTACAAAAAAAACTAGTACAAATATATACAAGAATGGCGACGTGTGATTAATCGGATCATGTATAATTTTTTTAAAATTTTGTAATGTTGTTGTTGTTCTATTGGGGAGGGTATGCTCTCCTCATTCTATCGTTTCTACGTGCTATAATGTTCTATCTTTTAGAATGAAACAACAACCCATTCATTAAAATAATTATTAAAAATATATATAAAAAACCCGAAATTGTACATTACTCATTAGAGAAAAAGGAAATGGTTCACACATCAGATTGCACCATGTTTTTGGATGATTGTTGAGCTGGGCCTGGGTGGAGCAAAGTGTGATTAGAGGAATTGTTTTTTACATGGTCCGGAACTACATGCAATGTGAGAGGCCCACCATGTCACCAACACAACAAACAGAACATAGTTGTGGATCAAACTTCTAGTGGGTTCAAGTGATTTCCTTTCTGCTTTTTATATGATGGTAGGACATGTTCCGGAAAAGGTGATTCGGGCTCACCGGCGGCGTCGGCTTGCGTCTCTCGTTCGGTTTACAGTTATGGAGGTGGGGATGGATCTAAGCCGGATTTCCAACAGGTGGAGGCGCAGAGTAACCGGATCCAAGGTCAGGGACGTGTGAACAGCCACACACCTAAGGCAAGTGGAAATGGGAAGGCTTCATCTGGGACACGTGGTTGGAGGAGAAAGGATGCCTGTTATGAGTGGAAGACAGCTACCCTTCCTCGTGCTGAGTCACGTGCTTCCCAAGATTTTTTTAAACTCAACTTCTGTTGGGCCAGATGGTGTTGGGCCTAGTCTGCGTGGGGCTCATGCAGCGGGATTAAAAGTAACTGGGAAAAATTCTTATGTGTGGGGTGGGCCTAGGCCATCTTTTGGGCCGAGGTGGTTCATTAAGTCTGTTAAGCGGGATGGTCGACCTAAGCACTCTGGGCCTCTCTTTTCTTCTGGACCAGTTCAGGGGAAGTTAAGAGTGACTAAGGGCAGGATGGTTAAATGGGGCCCAAATAACCATCTCTCAATTTCCTTTCAAGGCGGACAGCCCAACCCATCTTTAGAAGCGGGTCAAAGCCATATCATTCCAGAACCTGACTTGGTTACGTCACAGAGATTTTCGACCTCACGTGTTTGGTCAAGGAAGGAGAAGGCGAATTGGGTGAAGGTGAGTTCGAAAGTGACGAAAGAGGCTGGGGCTAGTTCAAAGAACTTCCGGCATGGGTCGTGTTGTCAGAATCGACTCTCGAGTAACAGATTTGAGCTTCTTCAATCTGGATTTTTGGGTGATGACGAGAAAGGTGACTGTGTCTCTATAAAGAAGGATGATCTCTCTCGGAGTTTGTCGAAAGATCCCAGTAAGAAATGGACTAGGAAGGACAAACAGAAATGGGTTGCTCGTAAGGATTCCCATTCGTGCCCAGGTATGTCGAGTTCCTTTCATGATCGGAAATCTGCATCTTCTTCTATCTCTGCTTCTTCTCCTTGCGAGTTGAATAGTAAAGGGGGAGAGATTCTTGATGGGAGACAACATTTGCTTTCACCCGTTCTTGAGGTTGACTTGGTGGAAGGATTGAACTCTACGGTTGGTTCGGAGTTTGGGATTGTTGGGCCGTCAGAAAGGGATGGGACGGTTAGCTTGTCTGGTGACAGGGATATTGATCGAGACTCTGTAGGGATCGCTGAGACTTGTTCGGAGTTTTCTTCAGCTTCTTGGTATGATTCTTCAGGGGAGGAGATGGGTAGGTCCGCCAAGTTTCTATTGGGTGGATCGGAAGGGCTGTGTTCTTCTTTTAAAGGAGATCCAGTGGCTTGTCTAAAGGGTCCTGTGCCTGATGTGGTGACTGTTTGTGTGTGTAAAGATATCCGAATTTCCCTCAGTGAGGAATCAGCTTCTCTTTTGGTGAAGGAGTTGCAGAAGCACAGATATTCGCATGATGATCATACTGTTGATTGTAACCCGGTCCCGGTCACACAAAATGGTGTGTTAGATTATGGAGAGGACTAGATGTCATCTGTTGATGAGGCTGTGGAGGCCAAGGGAGGTATGGTAGATGGGAGCAGGGTGGATCGGGGGAGTTCTCTTAATATGATTTTGTGGGAGGAGGAGGGTTTTGCTAATTTGGGGGTGGTAGACCCTTTGGCTGTTGTTCATCCAGAGGAGTTGGGCAGCAAGGTGTGTAGGCAGGAAGGTGAGGACACTGGAATGGATTGGGTCAAGGCTAACATTGGGGCTACTAGTGATCTATTGGGTGTCTCCTGCAAAGGCAAGCGTGATCAGGCCTTAGCAATCCTTCAGGCCACGGCAGAGGGGAGAGAAGGGGAGTTGATTCAATTTTCCAGAAGGAGGAGTAGGAAGAAGAAGAACCTTACTCCAGGGAAAGGGGAAAGGGAGCTAAGGAATCTGTGTTGTGATGTGAATTATGATAGGGTGAGTGGGGGGGAGAAGGAGAGGGGTAATGCTAAGGGAGGAGGGAGGGGTAAGGGGGCGAAGGGGTTGATTGTTTCCTCATGAAGTTCCGAATTTTATCGTGGAATGTCCGCGGTCTAAACAATCCGGGCAAGCGAAGGGTGGTGAAGATGGCAGTGAGGAAATGGGGGGTGCATTTGGTGTGTCTTCAAGAAACAAAGGTTGATTCTATGTCTGATTGTGTGGTGAAAAGTCTGTGGGGTAACCGCTTTGTTAAGTGGGAGGCGCTGGATGCTATTAGGACTTTAGGAGGTGTTCTTATTATGTGGGATAGGAGATGGTTGGCTAAAGTTGACGTTTACAGAGGGAGATTTTCTTTGTCTTATGCATTTGTGATGGAGGAGGATGGTTTCACTTGTTTTTTGGGATGTATGGGCCGGTTGACGATGGTGTGAGGGATGGTTTGTGGGAGGAGTTGAGTGGGGTGAAGGGGAGGTGGTCTCTTCCTTGGTGTGTGGCAGGAGACTTTAATGTGGTTAGATCCCTGGCGGAGCGGTCTACAGATGGCTCGTGGACTCAGGCTATGATGCATTTTCCTGATTTTATTGATGGCCACCAGCTTATTGATCTCCCTCTTGAGGGAGCTTCTCTCACTTGGTCTAGTGGAAGGGAAGTTCCAACTTTCTCTCACATTGATAGAATTTTGATTTCCGGTGAATGGGAGGAGAAATTCCCGGATGTTGTTCAGGCAGTTTTGGCTAGGGTGACGTCGGATCACATTCCCTTGGTTTTGGACTGTGGAGGTTTGAGATCTCGCAGCACTCCTTTCAGATTCGAGAACATGAGGCTTCGTGCAGATAATTTCCAGGAATTTGTACATTCTTGGTGGGAGGAAAATCTGGTGGTGGGTACCTCGAGCCATATTCTTGCAGGAAAGCTTCGGATTTTGAAAACCAATCTCAAAAGGTGGAATAAGGAGGTGTTCGGGAGCTTAGTGTGGAGGAAGAATAGGGCTTTGGCTGATATTGCGGAGATTGATAGATTGGAAGGGGAGGGTGTTATTTCGGAATCTCAACGCAGTAGGAGAGCAGCTTGCCAGGCAGAGCTTACCAGGCAGAATGTGTGGAGATTGCTCTTTTGGAGGAAATCTCGTGGCGTCAGAAATCTCGTGGCGTCAGAAATCTCGGGCATTATGGCTCAAAGAGGGAGACCAAAATACGAAGTTTTTTCACAGAACTGCTAATGCTAATAGGAGGAATAATCATATTGGGCGAATGTGTGTGGATGGTGCAGTCTTGTCTTCGGAGGAGGAGGTGCGAAGCACTATTGTCTCTTTCTATCAAAGGCTTTATTCAGAGCCTCTTCGTTGGAGGCCTCGTCTTGATGGTCTTCACTTCGATTTTATTTCTGCCTTGGATAGAGATGGGCTGGAAAATCCTTTTTCGGAGGAGGAAGTGCTGAAGGCTTTAAAGAGTTGCAATGGTGATAAGGCTCCAGGTCCTGATGGTTTCACGATGAGATTTTTGTTGGAAAGCTGGGAGGTGGTCCGGTATGAGAGTATGGGCACTTTTCATGAGTTCAATTCCACGGGGCGGTTTGAGAAATCGCTTAACACATCTTTTATTGCCCTTATTCCTAAAAAAGGTGGTGCTTCTAATATCAAGGATTTTAGACCTATTAGTCTGATTGGGTGCATTTACAAGCTCATTGCAAAAGTCCTTGCCTTTAGATTGAGGGAGGTCCTGGATGAAGTTATCTCCGAGTCTCAGAATGCTTTCGTTGGGGGTAGACAGATCCTGGATTCCACACTTATTGCTAGCGAATGTGTGGATTATAGACTTCGTAGTGGGACTCCTGGTGTTCTGTGCAAGTTGGATATTGAGAAAGCCTATGATCATGTCTGCTGGAATTTCCTGTTCTATCTGTTGGAGAGGATGGGTTTTGGTGAGAGATGGAGGAAGTGGATTGTTTCTTGTGTTTCCACTGTCAAGTTTTCGGTGTTGGTGAATGGATCTCCTTCGGGGTTTTTTGGCAGTTCTCGTGGGTTGAGGTAGGGGGATCCTCTTTCCCCTTTTCTTTTTATTATTGTTATGGAGGCTGATGAGAAGGGCGGTGGATTTGGGTTTTATTAGGGGCTTCAAGATTGGCCCTGAATCAGTTCAGCAGTTGGAGATCTCTCATTTACTTTTTGCGAATGACACTATCGTTTTTTGTGAGGCAGAAGTGTCCCAGTTAAGGTATTTGAGATGTGTCTTGGTTTGTTTCCAAGCTGTTTCTGGGTTGAAAGTCAACGTGGGAAAGAGCGTGCTTGTTCCTGTGGGCGAGGTTCAGGAGGTGGACACTCTGGCTGCTATTCTAGGGTGTGGGACGCAACGCTTTCCCATCTCGTATTTGGGTTTGCCGCTGGGGGACTCGGCTAGGAGGGTTGGAAGTTGGAACCCGGTGATTGAGCGGGTCGAGAGAAGATTAGCGGGTTGGAAAAAACAATATCTATCAAAGGGCGGTAAAGTTACGTTAGTGAAGAGCACTTTGTTAAGCTTTCCAACGTACTTTCTTTCGCTTTTTCATATTCCAGCTTCTATTGTTGAAAGACTTGAAATGCTCCAACGGAACTTCCTTTGGGGGGGTCGCGGAGAAGAGTTCAAGTATCATCTTGTCAAATGGGAGCAGGTTTGCAGGCCTATTCAGTTGGGAGGGCTTGGAATTAGAAGATTGGCCCCTTTCAATCGTGCTCTTCTTGGTAAGTGGCTTTGGAGATTTGGCAAGGAAACACACAGATTATGGAGAAGGGTTATCTCATGTCGCTTTGGGGAGGAGAGAGGAGGGTGGTCAGTTAGACCAGTCAGATCTGTTAGCGGAGTGGGGGTGTGGAGGGCCATTGGTAAGGGGTGGGATGTCTTTTCCAAACATATTAGATTCAGAGTTCGGGTTGGAAGAAATGTCCGGTTTTGGGAGGATTCTTGGTGTGATGATAGGCCATTGGCTCTTTTGTTTCCCAGACTTTTCAGGATTGCTGTTGACAAACATGCTATGGTTGCTGACTACTATCGCCCTGATAGCGGGAGGCTATCTTGGGATGTGCGTTTCCGGCGAGCTTTTCAGGATTGGGAGTTGGATGATGTCACTAGGTTTTTGGCTCTACTTTACAGACAGGAGGTGGAGGGGTCTGGGGCAAATTCCTTGATTTGGATGCCTTTTTCTCAGGAGATGTTCCAGGTCCGGTCCTTTTTTGTGTGCCTTTCTGGTTTTCATGGTACCACATTCCCATGGAAGACGGTGTGGATGTCTAAGTCGCCTCTTAGGGTGGCCTTTTTTGTGTGGACTGCAGCTTGGAGTAAGATTTTGACTTTGGACAATTTGAGGAAGCGAAGGCATATCATTGTTAATAGGTGTTGTCTTTGCAAGATTAATGGGGAGTCAGTGGATCATCTTCTGTTACATTGTCCTGTGGCTCATGATTGTTGGAGTTTGATTTTTAGCCTGTTTGGTATTCATTGGGTCATGCCTCGGACCTCTCGGGAGTCGTTAGATATGCGAAGGGGCCAATGGGTGGGGGCTCAGGCCAGAGTTTTCTGGAGGGTGACCCCATTTTGCATTTGGTGGAGCCTTTGGAAAGAGCGAAATGGAAGATCTTTTGAGGGGAAGGAATCCTCCATTGGGGTGCTAAAATTTTCTATCATTTGTAACCTGTTTTGTTGGGGTCAGGGGAGAGATTACTCTTCTCTTGAGGATATTGTTGATTTCATGGGCTCTTTGAGTTCATAGGTTCCGTTTTGTCTTTGTATAGTATGGGACGCGTTCCCCTTTTGAGCGCTTTTAATACAATTTACTTATCAAAAAAAAATGATACTAGTTTCTTTTGCAAGATAGGACAGGCCCAGTATGAAAGCTAAACTTAGTAGCACTCATAATTTGGGCTAAAATCAATATGATGACTCATGGCCCAAATCAAGGATCACACTTCAGTTCTTTTTAATTCTTGTTTCTTTTTACATACTCACAATTATCTTTCTTCTTTTTTAAGGAGAGAACTCGATAGAGAACTTAAATCTTTTAATTAATAAAGAAATTTAATACTTAAATTAAGTTCTAACAATTTAAACCGGGTAATTTTTTTATTATTTTTTTCTTAGTTGATACTCACACACACACCTCTCTACTAAGACTTGAATCTCTGACATCATTTTGAAAAGTAAGGGCATGATACTATCAGAATAATAATCATCTCAATTATACTAATTAAACACTAATATATATATATATATACACACACACACACACATATAGTCCCTTCCTTGATTTTTCACCAAAAAAATACTCACAAGTAGTCAATACAATCATAATTAAACAATGAAAAAAAACCAAAAGCTATGTTTCATTTATTTGTCATATTAGTTAGCATGGATGTGGTGGAGCAAGAATTAAAGGAGGACAAAGGGAAAAGGAAGTGGAGGAAGAATATAGGGGAAGTGGGTTAGAATGAATGAATGAAGCCCACTGTCGTTAGGTAAACACACACCCTACTACTCGTGTGCATGTCCATATCTGCATATATATATATATATATATAACAGACAACCATGGGGGCTAACCAGACATGACATACATGATACATGGTGAGCCAGCAGTCAATGGAACTACCATGTCCATACATATTTATATTAGATATATATAGATAGATATTATGCTGAGGGAGAAGAAACAAAGGAGATGGGTGTGAGCGACAATTTGGGGCGGTTAAGCGACAGCTCATCATACCATAACAAGACCAGCATATACCAAAATAGTGAAAGGTGTGTGAGTGAGTGTTAGTGTGTGTATCAAACAAATATCAATGTGCACGGTTCACTAAGCATCAAAAGAGCAGTCAGCTGAAGAATTGATACATCCTTGTAGATGCACTTGCTTCACCCATCATATGCCCATATCCGACACAATCAGCTGAACCACCATCACAACACACACACACACACAAAGGAAAGAAATCTAAGATGGACGGAATATAATCTGTGTTCTTCAAACTTCTCTGATACAGAAATTGACGCTTAACAAGGCAAAAATAGAATTCACTTGGCATGACTCATGAGGGGTCGGTCAATAGAGCAGAAGAAAACCGAGTGATATTCCTTTCTTTCTGTTTCTTCACCGTTCTGCTTTCCTAGTGACTGCATAATTGCCTTACTGGTCCACTCCCATAATTGCACAATAATAATTTTTCTGTCATCGATGCACTCTCATTATGAAGCATGCCCTAGCCATTGGATTGAGATAAACATCCTCTCAACGGTTGAGCACAATAAACTTAATCATGATGTATTATTGACTCTACAATCACTACCTCAACCATCATTCCCTTTGATTTCACAATAACATTTTATTAAAAATGAACCAAAATTGGGGGGGAAAAAAGGAAAAAAGGAAATGACAGATTCTAATGATTAAAATTTTGATTCCTTCACTCAGTTCCAGAGCCTTTCCTCACTCTTTGTAAGGAAAAACGAGTTTCTTCCACGTTACAAAATCTCACTCTTTTTCCTTCATATGTTCCCTATACTACTTCATTTTCATTCCAGAGTCTTTAAGGTCAAAACAGAGCCTACAAAAGGAACGTCTGTGTATGTGTGTATGAGAGAGAGAGAGAGAGAGAGAGAGAGAGGGGGGGAAGGGAGTGAGTTTCCAAATGAGTATGAAAATTGCCAAATACTAGAATTTTTAATGGGGTATGAAAACTACAGTTATTACAAAGCAATGTATATCATAGTTATTTTTAGGGGGTGTGCAACCTTACTCATGAACTCATCTCAGCAGGCTGATCAGGTGGCTTGTTTGAGTTTTCTTGTTCCACTTTAATCTCTGGTTCATCCATTGACATTGAATCTGGATTTGAAACCTGAGAAAGACATCCAAGCACATAAATAAAATAGGGTTACAAAATACTTGCTATTAAAAGGTTGTGCCAAATCTTCACCTTTAAAGTTGCAGTCTCAGCTAGTGGTGCATCTGTTTCTCTTGCACGCTTTGGTACTTTTAGGCCCTCCTGAAGATACAGCAAGGGCATAGGTTGTTATTGCATTAAATAAAATAAAATAAAAAATAGAAAGCCCAGCACATTAGATCTGAAAGGTTGAATTTTGATCATCAGTTTTTACTACGTCAAATGAAAAAATGAAGTTACTTTTCTCTTTTCTTCTCAAGTTTCTCAAACAGGTGATTACACGAAACACTACATTACTAGTAACATTATGGCAAGCTCAGGTATTTGCATAATCAAGAAGATCCATAAACCAGGAACTCAACTTCTATCTACACACACGAACAAATGTTTATGGCTTCAATGTGGGCCCTGGATGTAGAAGATAATAGTCTCCCAGGCCATAGACAGGACTCTCTTGTTTGTGTGGAAGTAATATAAGGAAAGCACATATGACATATTAAAAAGATTTACTTGCCAAAAGAATATACAAAAATTTTAACAAACAAAAACATACATGGGAAGAAGTAATTAAAAACGTTTTTAAAAAATTCAATCTAAGAGAAGACATGGTATACAATAGGAAAGAATGGAAAAAGACAATTCATGGGGACCCATCTATATGGGATAAGGCAAGGATTATCATGACGATATGATGTGACCCCCACAAAATTTATAAATAATCTCAATTTAGAATCCTTTAAACTTTACTTTTGGACATTTACATTTATAGAAAAAAAGGAATACAAGCCACGTCTATAGAGCTTTATTTAAATTTTTTTTTTTGTGCAACTTATATATATATATATATATAACATATATGCCAAATTAGATTTTGTTTGCATGGGCTATGAAATAATTTATGTCTAAAAATAATCTTATCTTGTTAATTTATATTAGAAAATATATAAGAGACTTTTTTGTAAGGAATGATATAGTATAGTTTATTTATGATTTTAAAATTTTATTTTCATCTTATTAGTTGCCCCAAAACATAAATTTCTAGCTCCGCACCTGCTTTTATACATGAATAATAATCACTGAAAACAAGGCACATAACACACCTTATTGAAATTAAAAGTGCACTCTCTTTGAACAAGGTGTGTAGACACATATACTATCATGTCAAAAAGGAACCAATACAACAACGAATGAAAAAGAACTTCTGGTCTATATCCAAAAATGACCACATTAGCTCTCCTTTTTACGAACTACCAACTATAGAGGTCGCCTCGTTGTACCAAGAGATGACAGGTTATAAGCACTGTATCACAATCACAGTGACATAGGGGGGGAAGAAAAAAAAAGGGTATAATAATAGACCATTACCTAGTATTGGTCTTGCCTGAACACTAGAGATAGACATTAGATAACATTTTGCACAAGTGGCTGCTCTTAAACTCGGAGCCACTTCCTCATGCTTATCGGTTAGATCAACTGTCATAATTACCATTGGCCCCTAATTACTTACATCCACTCTTATTGTAGAAAAAGCACAAAATATTGCATATAATAATTGGCACGTATTAAGTGTTTGCCATTGGCATTTGGCAACAAAACATGTAACAAGCATGCTCTATCTCATATTCAATGTGATGAACTGGTTTTCTAGATGCTAAGAACTTAAAAAAGGAAGGAACATACCGCGTCATTATGCTCCGGTTCATGAAATTCCCTCTTCACTCTGCCTGGCAAAGGCTTGCTGACAAAATAAATAAGTAACATACATTAGAAGCCATAAAAATCCAAAATATAAAAGTGATATTGCATCGAAAAATTTACCAGTTGTCATCCATGTCAGATTCAGGATCCCATCTTTCAGCTTCATAATCTTGATCTTCATCTGCCTGAATGTCAGAACATTTAAGAGAAGTCACTTCTTCATGTATGGCTGCTGCAAAGTTACACTGTAATATTCAAGTTTTTTATTAATGATTATATTTCCTATTGTTCTGTGCTGCTCTGGTGATTGTTAACCACGTCCTTACACGTCTTTTTATCAGATTACCACAATTTTCCTTTTCCCAATTTAATGGGTATTGTGCATGTTTGTGAGACCACAACTTTTTATTTATTTTTTATTTTTAATTTAATGGGTATGCACCTGTGCATGTTTGGGAGTATCAAGCATGATATATATATATATATATATATATATATATATATATATATATATATATATATATATATTTATCTCAGCTTAATGGGTATGTGCCTGTGTGTTTGTGAGCAGAGGAACTCCATCTGTATCGGTTTCAAAAAAATTGACAGTCATTTCAGCTCCGAGAAAATGCAAAACCAATATACGTTGTAACGTATTAATTAGGATAAGCAGTTCCTAATCATTTTTAATAGGCTATAATGTAAGGACTTGTATTGCTCCTGAATTTTTTTTTTTTTTTTTTTTTTGTTTTTTTTGGAGGGGGTGGGGGTTTATCTCTTACCACCAAGAGCTCAGCTCTGGTAGTATCTCCTCAACTACACATCTAAAGAATTTTATAAAGAGCATTATGCACGTTGATTACATATTTTTCTTTTTATCATCTATCATCTTACATTAGTGATGAGTTAATATTCAGAGTGTTGATCACCAACTTGTAGAGCCAACTCGTCATCAACACCAAATCACACAAAGAGGTTCAGACATTACAATAGAGGAAAACGTGAGTTGAAGAGCAGATTGCATGAGAACTCATTAACTGGCAGCAGCATAGTTAGAATAAAACATCAGGCGTCAATCTGGATCAAAGGTAACTAGGTAATTATGTGGGGTTTAAATCTAATACAAGATTGCATTACCTTTCTTTTGATAGTGGAGTTTGATCGGCCTGAACTAGATCACGTGATTTCTTCTAGTGGGGGAATTCATGTAAAATCATGTGTTTATGTTTGATTGCTACATTATTTTATTTTTGATCTCTATAAATTTAAAATTTTATATTGTTGCATCTGAACTATAATTGCTACAATCTATTTACCCCCTTTAAATCTATTTTAGGCATTGTCTTTGACGTATAAGAACCTTGGGCAACAGTTTACTCTCAATTGGCATCAAGCATACTAATTGTGGATTTCTCAGGAAATAAAATAAAGAAAACCAACAAAAATGCTTCGACAATATACAACAAAGACCAATAACTGCAATGACAAGAACGAGTGACATGGTCCACACGTAGAGGATAACACTAGAAGAAAGTATAGATCAAAACTAGCAAGGGTCGAGATAGTTAGGAAAGACATGCAGTTTGTTACTTACTAAAACAATAATCCTATATAAAGCAAAAGGGAAAAACAAGATCCATTTGACAAATGTTGGTCAAAGCTTTGTTCAGTTGTGTACAGGTATCCTAATCCTAATCTTTTTTTTTTTTTGATAAATAAAAAATTTTATAAAAAAACACTCCAAGGGGGAGCGGAACCCAAGAACGATACAAAAAGCCACTCAATCCTTCAAAGAGGCCAAAAAATCAACAATTTCCTCCAAAGATCTATGATCTCTCCCTAAAACCCAACAAAAAAGAGTGGAAATAATCGAGAATTTAAGCACCGAAATCGACATCGCCTTTCCTTCAAAATATCTCCTATTCCTTTCAAGCCAAATGCACCACCATACACAAAGCAGCGTAGCCCTCCACGCATCCTGACTGTGAGTCCCCACAGGGCAACCTCTCCAAGCCTCAATCAACCCTCTTGTAGATCTAGGCATAACACTCTCTAGCCACATAGCAATGAATGAGAAGGTGATCCACTGATTCCTCATTACGAAGGCACATAAAACAACGATTGATCACCACTTGGCTTCTCCTTCCTGGGTTAGGATCTTTCCCAAAACCGAAGACCACACAAAGAAAGCCACCTTGAGAGGAGCCTTGGAGCGCCAAACAGACTTCCAAGGAAAACGAACATCAGGATCAAATGAGAGACACTTGAAGAAGGACCTCACCTCAAAACGCCCATGAGAGTTTGCTACCCAAGACCAACAGTCCGAATCCTCCTCCACAATCCTTTGGCGATAAAGCAGCTCCAAGAAGCGAATGACCTCCTCGATCTCCCAATCCTGAAAGTGACGCCTGAATCGAACATCCCAAACCAGTCTCCCATTATCAAGATGATAACAGTTGACCACCATGGCCTGCCTATCCGAAGCAATCCTGTAGAGCTGAGGAAAAGCGAGAGCGAGAGGAACATCTCCACACCACACATCCTCCCAGAAGCAAATCCTCCTCCCATCTCTAAGACGAAATCGAATGTGTTTAGAGAATTCATCCCAACCCTTCCGAATCACTTTCCAGACCCCTACCCCCCGAGGATCCCGCACTTCCAAGGAACTCCACCCTCCTCTCAATTCCCCAAAACGACACGCCACAACCCTCCTCCAAAGCCAATGTCTCTCCACACCAAATCTCCACAACCATTTCCCGAGAAGGGCCTTATTAAATGGCACCAATCTACGGAGACCCAACCCACCATTTCGAATAGGCCTGCAAACCTGATCCCATCGCACCAAATGGAACTTAAACTCATCAGCTCTACCTCCCCAAAGAAAATTACGCTGCAATCTCTCAATCCTCTCCGCAACTGAAGAGGGAATTTGAAAAAGAGAGATAAAGTAAGTGGGGAGGCAAGAGAGGGTGCTCTTAATCAGAGTGACCCTGCTGCCCTTGGAAAGATACTGCTTCTTCCAACCCACTAGCCTTCTTTCAAATCTGTCCACCACTGGGTCCCAAATTCCTACACATCTCGAAGGAGCACCCAGAGGCAAACCTAAGTAAGAAATGGGAAATGACCCAGTCCTACAACCAAGAATGTCAGCAAACATCTCAATCTCAGGGACCTCCCCAACCGGCACCAAAACACTCTTGCCCACATTCACCTTAAGGCTGGAGACAACTTGAAACCAAATCAAAACACATCTCAAATATCTAATCTGGGACACATTCGCATCACAAAGAACTAAAGTATCATCAGCAAACATCAAATGAGAGATCTCCAACTAAGAAGCAACATCCCTGCCCACCCGGAAGCCCCTCAAAAAA